TGAAAATGCAAAATATGCATGGTGTGCTGTGAAGCGTCATAAGTCCTATTGAGTATTGATCTACTGTAACTGTGTAAAGCCCTTTCGATACATGTAATTGTAAATTTGTATTCTTACATGCAGGGCTTGAAATAACGTTCCCAAAGTTCCCGATCATGGTGATCGGCAGTCGTGACTTTCCCTGCTTTTTTCAGGTTGGAAACCGAAACCCTGCTTTTCCGCCGATCATAAGCAATTCCTTGCCGATCATTGATCGGTGATCGGTTGTTATTTCAAGCTCTGTCTTAACAATTTTGAATTGATACTGATTTCAAATGATTAAAGCCATGTAATAATTATCCCATGCAACTGTTAGGAAGGGCGAAATTTTGAACGGAGGACGAAAATCGTAAAGAAAAGGTGAAGTTTCTAAAGGGGGGCGAATTTCCTAAAGGGGGGCGAAATTCCTAGGATTTTCGCCCCCCTGGGAGGGGGGCGATATTCCTAGGAATTTCGCCCCCGGGGGCGGAAATGTAGGGGGGGCGAAAATCCTGGGACACCGGGTCCAACTTGAGAGATAGAGCGTAAAATTGAGTATGTTCTTTAAATTGGTCAGAGCATTTTTGAAATCGAGGGCCCCTTACAGTAGCACAGTCCACATGCAGTCTAGCTAAGGCCTAGTTGGGTGACTAACATGGATGTACCTTAAAAGTAATGATGTCAGGGGGCCCCCAGAGAAGACTTGCCCCGGCCCCCACAAATTCTTTCGGCGGCCCTGCTTGCAGTCATCACAAGCTGAAATTTTTAGCCCAGTCTTGCACTTGGACAATATACAAAGCTTGCAAGCCTTTGTCCACCACTCAACTCAAAGCGCCCTTGAAGCTTCGACCTTCCATTCTTTGCATACTCGCTTCGCTCATCAATTAATAGTCATAGCCTCAGTATAGCAAAACAGTATTGGCCATGGTAGTCAATTTATCCCGGGCGTTCTGTGACCCCCGTCCGCGATCATATCAGAACATGATGTTTGTGATGTTACTCTGAGTGTGCATCCACACGGGGCAAGCTGAAAAGTTAGCTTGGCCACGGTGGGAATCGAACCCGCGACATTTGGGAACCAGTCCAATGCTCTGCCAACTGCGCTACGAGGTCAAGTCGGTTCGAGTTGATGATCTTTCGGAACTGAGTCTAGTTCCTTCGATATCAGTGTATTCTATGATATGATTATTTTGTGTGTGTTGATGTTATGTACTCAGGTGAATATGATGTTTGTGATGTTATTCTGAGTGTGCATCCACACCGGGCAAGCTGAAAAGTTAGCGACCTTTGGGAACCAGTCCCAGTCTAGGGCGTTGCGTGCGTTCTCACATGCTGCTGATTGGCGGTTCAAATCCCGCGATGGCCAACCTTTTGTTTTTCGTTCTCATATTTTTTCTCTAAGATTTTTCCTGAGATTGTCTTTATACAATACCTTTTGGTTAGATTAGGGTTAGAGTTCGGGTCAGGTTTACTTTTTAAGTGTGGAATTACTAGACAACACAGTTTAATAAGTGTGGAATTACTAGACAACATAGGGGAGTTACAACTGCACTGTAAACTACTATTATTAAATTGCCCCTTCTTTCAAAATTCGATAAATTGTATTTTAGAAATGTTTTTTCGCTGTCACTTCCGGCCATTTTGTAGTTCGCGCCAATTTCCATAATTCGCGCGCGAATTCGAATTGTGTTAATGCTAAATGTTGAGCCGCTGACATGATCTGATTTGATCGCGGACGGGGGTCACAGAACGCCCGGGATAAATTGACTACCATTGGCCATAGCCATATTATTATTAGGGCTTAAAAAAATATACCTGTGGTTCCGCCCGGTTTCATATCGTGAAAAAATTAGGATCGGTTAGGGGGTAGGTCGGAAATAAATTTTTTTTGGAATATTTTTTTCATGGTTTTGGCAGTTTTTTTTTGCTGGGCGATTTGTAGTAGAGTCGCGACATCAGTATTAACTAGAGATGCGTATTTCCTATGGACGAATTTTGGCAATTTAGTTCAATACTATTAGTGTGACAACAGACGCCATTTTGGCACGCTGTATGAGCAGCCCGCAACCACCCGGAGAATATAGGGTTGCACGGTCAATCGCGTTGAAAAAATAATAGGGTCGGCAGAAAGAAATAGGGTCTGTCGGGAAACGGAACCACAGGTATTTTTTTAGGCCTAGCCAAGACTTCAAACGGATACCTGAAGGGCTGTATGAGATAGATAGATGTCTCTGTTAAGTAAATCATTAAACCTGCTGTAGTCATGAGGCATACATCAGCAAAGGAGCATGCATGATATACAAGTCAAATTAGCTACTGTTGCATGCAAAATGCCAGGTGTGTTTGGCTGCAACCTGCTGCTAGTATCCCTGATAGTTAAGCGTAAGTCAACTCTTATATGCTGTTGCTGTCTTCAGGAACTTTAATATTTACAGCATTTAAAACAGAGTTAGTGAGATCGTTACAGCCATGTTGTTGTTTAGAAAACTGAAACTGGAAACTTTATTACAAATTGCAAAATTACAATTTACACGCTGTTGTTAGTTACACACTATACAGGGTGTATAAAAAACTGAACAGATTTGAAATTGCTCTCAATTTCGCAAAACAGCTATTAGTATCCAGTTTTTTATGTATATAGCTTCTTTGGGTACTTATAATGTAGAATAATGAAAAAAATTTCTTGAACTCAAACTTTGTAAACCAGGGAGGGGGTGTCTTTTCCAACAAACTAAAAATGGCTTGCGCACGAAATTTAAAAGCTTTAATCATATTTTGAGTTAATAGATGGAACATTTGTTGGGTTTTTAATTACTGTACAAAATTTCAGACAATTTGCTTTAGTTTAAGCCCCTTCAGCTATTCATTTTTTCCTAAAAAATCAGCCTTTCGCATGCTTAATTAATGCCTTTACCTAATTTACATATTCCTGACATATGCAAATTAGGCAAAGGCATTAATTAAGCATGCAAATAGCTGATTTTTAGGGAAAAATGTAAGTTTGCGTGAATAGTTAAAGGGCTTAAACTGAAGCAAATTGTCTGAAAGTTTGTACTGAGTAATTAAAAACCCAACAAATTTTCCATCTATTAACTCAAAATATGATTAATATAAAGCTTTTAAATTTCGTGCGCAAAGCCATTTTTAGTTTGTTGGAAAAGACACCCCCCTGGTTCACAAAATTCGAGTTCGAGAATTTTTTTTCATTATTTTACATTATAAGTAACCCAAAGAAGCTATTATAAGTACCCAAAGAAGCAAGGAGAAGGCAAGGTAGCCCAAAAGAAACCAAAAGGCTTATAAAATTGGGCTCCTTTATATACAAACTTGCTCTGATAGATATGGAGACGGCAGTGTGGAAACAATAATTATACTGAATTACTGATATCAATACACTGATATCAAAATACAGTAATTACAGTATTAATAATATATAATTACAGATGAATAATAAAAGCAATAAAATAAAAATTTCGATTGTCAAATGAAGAAAAATAATGAATGTTAAGGCAATTACGAGGAAAACAAGTATTTTTAAATTTTGACTGAAATGAAGAAACACTTGACGCATTGCGAATATCGCAACTTAATGTTTTAAAAAATTTCGGGGCTTGGTAACTAATTTTAACTAAGAGAATTTTCAAATGTTTGTTCTGCAAAAGGGGATGTGATACAAGTCCGAATGACGTGTATTATAGTTATGAACTTGACTTGTACGAAGAAAGAGATTATCAAAATTTTTGGTAGTAAATTATTTCGAGATAAATACATAAATTTCCCTAGCTGATACAAATATATTTTTTCAAATTTCAATGTCTTAACTTCAGCAAAAATCGGGTGAGTGTGTGCATTAGATGTTTCTTAGTTTATTAATAATTCTAATAATGCCCTTTTGAAGCAAGATAATGCGTTTTAAATTTGTTGCGTATAGGTAGAACCCCAAACAATTAAACAATACTGTAAACAAGGATGTACTAGAGAATAATACAATTTAAATAAGGAAGACTTTGAAAGGGAAGGGACGCCAGACGATTTTACTCGTCAGGGGGAGAGTGCTGCCACTCAATGGGTTAATCAGACTAGTGCCCTTCTTCATTATTTTACTCTGTCTAACGCCAGATGATTTTACTCGTCAGGGGGAGAGTGTTGCCACTCAATGCATGTTTAATATAACAAAATAATAATTTAAATTTGAATAATGATAATTGTACAACGATGTATAAAGAAAATTTAAAAAAAGGAAGTAATCGCAATTGAAGAAAAGCTATTCTGGGTGGTTAGTGAAGTTTATTGAATGACTTAAATATAATAATTATATCTTTAATAAATATATAGCATTGTCATTGAAGAAATGTTAGTATCAAATAAAAATCCGGATCAAATGAAAAGCCGTACCAAAACCATTTGTTAAAGATTAAAAAAAATCATAGATTCTCAGATGAAAAACTTCGTCTCGGTATTTTATTCACCGATAATCATCTCGCTTTCGGCGAATAATTGTTAATTAAATTAAGGCTCTGAACAGAAATTAAGAATTAAGAAGTTTAGTATAATTTGTTATTTCCCATCCACAACACGTCTAAGATCAGCAATCTTATATGGTAAATCATTCATACAATTTCAAGTCTCAAACTGTTTATATATTGATATTCAAATAGAACATCAGCAGCAAACGTTAAAATTTTGCAAAATTACAAATTCTTATAAATACTAAAACATATATCTGTAAGAAATCAAAGAAGAAATCAACATCTGTAAGATCTGTTTTATAAATTGCTTCACTTTGTGGGTTTCCGTGTATATCCACGCGGAAATCCCGCACAAATCCCGATGTTGGCGTCAACCAATGAAATGTAGTATCTCATTTGATTTCTCCAGAGCTATGCCCAACACTAACGTGCGAACGGGCATGCTCTGGGAACGAGATTGGCGCATAATCGAGGATCATGTCACTTAATCAGGGTGGTACTTAAACTTAGTAAATATATAGTAAGTCAGAATATATACTATAAGAATTCAACATTAACTAACAGTTTTAATTAAACAGTACGCAACAAAACATAATGTGGAGATCAACATTCCAGGAAACCTAGAAGTAGATTTACTGTGTGTGCAATATATTGTATTGTATATAGTGGTTTGTTATAAGATGATGAGATAAATTCTGACATAATATAAACTTTTTTAATCCAAAGATACTGTACTTATTATTCTTTGTTAAATTTGTATTTTTAGAACACAGAGCTACAAAATGAGGGAAGTTCTGTTGTTATTCATTTTGCAATCATTTCATCTAATATATGGACAATCAGGTTTGTAGTACATGAAGTATATAGTACAGTACCGTTCACGGGGAAGTTAACAGTCCCGTGCGGGACATTGTTCCCGGGGGACGGGACATTTATCCCACGGGACGGGAAATTTATCGCGTGGGACGAGAATTTCGTGAGACAGGAATCCCGTGGGACGGGAATCGCATGAGGGATAACAATATGTAAAATTTGCTGTCATTCGTTGACTGTTTGTTGTGTGGTCAAGACAACAAAAATTGGAAGGTTAAACAATGCGTGTATCTAAGGGCCATTCGTTTTTCGAGACTATGAAAAACGAAAATCAGTCGTCAAACTCGTGTTTTCGTTTTTCAATTTCGAAAAATATTCTAGAAAACAAAACAGGACAGATCATAAATTGATGAAAGGGCCAACCGTTTTCCAAACGCTTGAAAAACGAAAAACCATATTCAATTTTTACTTTGAATTCTTTGAATAACAAAAACGAATTTTGAAACAAATTCCGTTTTTCGTTTTTGGCAATCAGAAAACCTTGTTCGGAACAATTCGGAAATGGCTATCTTTAAAATAGGGAACGGGAATGGGGGAATGCGGATCCACTGTATTGCAATTATTCAGATGAAAGTGTTGGCGTGCACGGACTCTTTATTAATAATAATATTATAATTAAATAAAGTAAATATAATTATATATATATTAATAGCAACTAAATCTAACTGTATATTCCAATATTTAACATATTTACTATTATTGTACATTGATACAGTATATAAAGACATATAAAGCATGCCTATAAAGCATCGATAAAACTTTTGACTGTCGTTTGAAGAGTTTCAAATTTAATATTAGTTTCTGACGTTACTTTTTTGAGTAATATTTAAGAACACCTTGAATAATATTGTAATAATCTTACAGAGTAACATACTCCTTTTGCAAATGCACAGTATTAAATAAAACACTTAAA